TAAGTGTGAGACATTCACGTTACACATGTCTGCATGGTCTCCACTACTAGAAACAAGAAAGTAAGTTTGGTGACCTATGGCTCACCGTTTTGTGTGGGAAACTACAATGATTGGTCAAATTTGCAGAAAAGTTGCGGTAATTGTCAAGTCAAGCTGCTTAAGAATAAGCAGGAAATAAAATCAACTATCTGTACCATAGTGAATAGCATAGCATCATATTCTTTTGCATCATATTGCCTTGAATCGCATTGTGTTGAATCCAGTCATGATGAATCACACTATACTGTATACCAACTCAAGCCCTATAGAACCACCCACAAAATATTTATTTTTTTAAGGTCTATTATTTGTGCTTACTCCATCACTGAATAACCTTGGTTCTTTTCATACAATGACTTTGAATGTATAACGCCTATGAAACCTTTTATAAACATCCTACTGTTGGGTTGCTAACAACTCAAACAACACGTACAACACGCTTCTACCAGCAACTACAGTATATTGCTGTAAATATTAATAAGCCTTTTCTAATGAATAAATAAAACCCTTGGGTGAAGAAATGCACCACTTCTTTGTGTGAAACTAAAGTAATGTGTCTGACCGTGTGTACAGTGCATGCTCATGTAAATGTTCCAGCCTTTTTGACTGACCTCTTTTATACAACTGAAGAAAAAGCATTACCGTGGAGCCGTGCCCGGCAACATCAGTCTGACGGCCCGTTACCAAGACAATGCCAAGGGGGCGGAGTCTGAGAGGAAGGACGATGACAACACAGACAGGGAGGCAGATTACATAATAATAAACAAAACATAAGGTGTTCCCCTTGTCATCTGCTATGGCTGTGTCCTCTTTTTCTCTTTATTGCTTTGCTTCCCTCTAACCATTTCTCATTTTTACCTTTCCTCACACCCTTCTTTCCTCTTCTTCCTTTCTTTCTTCCTTCTAATTTCCCTAACTTCCGCCTTATTTTCTCCCCATCCTCTCCTTCCTCCCTCCTATCCATTCTTCCCTCCAACTGGATGTGCACCTTCCCTTCCCTTCCTCCCTTCCTTTTTTGTTTCCTCCCTCCCTTGTGCCCTCATTCTTTCCCCCCACCTCCCTCCCTCCTTTCAACCTTCACTTTGAATTTTCATTTTAAATTCCCTCCCTCTTTCTTTGCTTCTCTTTTTTCTTCCTTGCCACCCATCTATCTACTTCACCCCTATCTTCCTTCCAATAATACTTGTTCACTTTTTTATACCCCCTTCCTTGTTACACTCCTCTGTTCCCCCCTCCCTGTTCTTCTCTAGCCTTGAAGGAAAGCCAGCCAGTCGTCAGGATGATGTATCCTAGCAACAGTGACATTCCGCCCATTCAGCATCAGGATGAACCAAATGAAATTTTTGGATGAAGAGGATCAAGATTGTGATTGGAGGAAGTGAACGGGAGAGGCGGGGTGAGGAAGGGTAGTACCCATCAGCTGATAGCAGTCATTTTAAAAAAACTATTCAGGCTTGTACCTGATGTCAACTTTAATTTAAACATCACACACTAACTGCGCTGCATTGATCGGACAGCATGCTTTACTCTCTCGGGAGAACTTGTCCATGTGTCCTTGGTGGAGCATTTTCAAAGTCATGAAAATGGCAGAGGGTGAAGATGTTTAAAGCTTTCTAGCTACTGATGCATTAAGGCTTCCTGAGTAAGATCAGGAAGCCTCAAGACTTTCATATCAGGGACCTGTGTACCGTGCACGGGTCCACTGGAAAAGGTGGCCTCGAGTACAGTTCATGTGTACTCAGGTACGGTCAGGTTTGATGGATATGATATTTATCCTCTGGTATGGAATTACAGGAAAGCTATTTCAATTGTCTGAACGCAGTGTTAGTACCTATCTCTTTCTGGCTGGTGCAATATCAACAGAAAATAAATAAATAGCTAAATAGCTACTTCAGAAAAAGGCCAGAAAGTAAAATCTTTTTTCTGAGGTCATCAACACAAACTCTGGATCCAATGTGGCAAATACGACATCCTCAACATTCTTATGAAACCGTTTAAGCTCAAACAACAGGGTGACTAGGTCTGCTCTTCAACAGAACTGTAAAGTCCTCTAAAGGAGAGCTTGTCAGATGTGAAATACCTCAGCAACTGAAATAAAAAACTATACCACATCTTCATACAAAGTTTTAAGACCTGGCTCTGAAAAGTCAGACACTTCTAATACATGGCACTGCTCATTTGTGGTCTGTTGCTTTATATTGTATTTAATAGCGGATGTGGTCATCAGTGTTGAGCTGCTTCCTGTTGCTCTGCATGATTCGTGCACTGCCTTGTGCATTTTTTTTATTGTGTTATGTTTGCATTTCCAAACCTGTTATCTCATTAGTTTTAGTACGTATTGCTATGTTTCTAAGACTGCAGCTGTAAATTAGCCAGCTAGCTAACACTGGCACATTTATAGAAATTAATATGTGTTGTTGTATAAGAAATTAAATGAACCTTGAAGGATTAACTTTTTAACAACTAGACAACACTGGTGCAACATGTCTGGTCAAACTTCTTCAAAGTTCTATAAATGTGAAATATTGACCTATTATTTCCAAACCTGTGGGAGATCACAACAACATTTCCAGCTTTATTAAACTTTAGTAAAGGGAGAAGCAGCAGAGGAAGGGGAGGAGTGTGTTCATCAGTTTGCTTAAGTGAAATTGAAAGTAATTCAGAGTGATTCAGTAATGCAACAGGCAGGAAGTATTTCTCTGTTCCCCTTTCAAGAAAACTAAACATTCATCAGAACTTTCTCAACAATATAGTCTGCGACAAACGCTTGTAAGTACAGTAATAATATGTTCTATGTTTAAATTACGAGCTTTAATATGAAATGGAGCGGCATCTAAAAACACAGTTCCCTTTTTTTCATTTAGCTGTTTTTGACTAACACATTAGGTTTGATATAACTGGCTATACACTTCAAAATTATTTTGTCTCATAATTCATAATCTCATAATATGTCTCATAATTAACAAATACTAAATACATTTAAATATTATTAACACTTTCACTTTTGTTCTTAGATATGTCTGCTGCCAGCTGTCTGCTGACTGAAGATCAGTTTCTGTGCTCCATCTGTCTGGATGTGTTCACTGATCCAGTCACCATACCATGTGGACACAACTTCTGTAAAACCTGCATCACTGAACACTGGAATATTAATGTCCAATGCCTGTGTCCCCTGTGTAATAAACGTTTTCACAGAAGACCTGAGCTGTATGTCAACACTTTCATATCTGAGATGGCTGCTCAGTTCAGACAGTCCGGTGTAAAGGAAATCACCAGAAGCTCAGAGCAGCAACGAGCCAGACCAGGAGATGTTGTCTGTGACGTCTGCACTGGAACCAAACTGAAGGCCCTGAAGTCCTGCCTGGTGTGTCTGGCCTCCTACTGTGAGACTCATCTGGAGCCTCATCAGAGAATCCCAGGCCTGAAGAGACATCAGCTGATGGACCCTGTGGATGGAGAACCTGGAAGGCAGGATGTGTACGAAGCACGATAAACTGCTGGAGCTGTTCTGTAAGACCGACCAGATGTGTGTCTGCATGCTCTGCACTGTTTTAGACCACAAGACACATGATTTTGTTCCTCTGAAAGAAGAATATGAAGAAAAGAAGGTTGAGCTGGGAAAGACAGAGGCTGAAATTCAGGAGATTATCCAAGAGAGGCGACTTAAGATACAAGAGATCAAACATTCGGTTGCCCTCAGTAAGGAAGACGCAGACAGAGAGATAGCAGAAGGTGTTCAGGTCTTCACTTCTCTGATGGAGTCTGTTGAGAGAGGCCTGACCGAGCTCATCGACACGATCAAAGAGAAGCAGAGAAAGACAGAGAAACAGGCTGAAGACTTCATCAAAGAGCTGGAACAGGAAATCTCTGTACTGAAGAAGAGAAGCACTGAGGTGGACGATCTCTCACACACTGAAGACCACCTCCACCTCCTCCAAAGCTTCCTGTCCCTGAACGCTGCTCCACCCACCAAGGACTGGACAGAAGTCAGCGTCCGTCCACCTTCATATGAGGGATCCTTGGTGGTAGCTGTAGCTAATCTGGACAAGACACTCAATGAAAAGATGAAGAATTTGATTAAGGTCGAGCTGAAGAGGGTCCAGCAGTATGCAGTGGATGTGACACTCGATCCTGATACAGCACATCCTGAACTCATCCTGTCTGATGATGGGAAACAAGTGAGTCATGGTGACGTGAAGAAGAATCTGTCAGACAACCCAGAGAGATTTTCTGTTCAGCCCTGTGTTTTAGGAAAGCAGAGTTTCTCCTCAGGCCAGTTTTACTACGAGGTTCAAGTTAGAGGAAAGACTGACTGGACTTTAGGAGTGGTCAAAGAGTCAGCAAAGAGGAAGGGATACGTCCCAATAAGCCCAGTGGAAGGTTATTGGACCATGTGGTTCAGGTCTGAAAATGAGTACAAAGCTCTTGCTGACCCTCCAGTCCGTCTCTCTCTGCAGTCTCAGCCTGAGAAGGTGGGGGTGTTTGTGGATTATGAGGAGGGTCTGGTCTCCTTTTATGACGTTGATGCTGCAGCTCTTATCTACTCCTTTACTGGCTGCTCCTTCACTGACAAACTCTACCCATACTTCTGTCCTGGTCTTCAGTATGGTGGTAAAAACTCTGCACCTCTGATCATCCCTAATGTCAGTCACACTGAATAGACTGATCAGATATCGAATGAAAAGGTTTTTGTTTTTGTTTCTTTTGCAAATTGGGATTTATTTTCTTTACGGGTTCTTTATGCTTTTATTGTATTATTGTTTCATTTGCTGGATCTAATTACTGCAGCAAATCAATCAGTCGCAATTTACACATAATATAATATGATACAATATTTCAAATTACAGTACCTGACCCTCTTAAAATATAAATCAAGTCTGTTTTATTCCCTCCTCTGTACAGTTACACTGCAGTCCACTCTGTGTGTGGATAATGGTATAATAGGGCAAAAGTAGTCTTTATGATCTTGATGTCATTAATGCTCAGAAATCTTATGTGTTTTATTTTAGTACCTTCTAGGCTTCAGTAAAGATCAAAAATATATTGAATGAATTTTTGAATGTGCATTGTTTTCTCATGTATTCACTTTTGGAGGTACAATAAAGTATGGGAGCTTTATATCACTATTTATCTTTAAAATTAAATTTCAAACACGTAAGTAAGAAATTAATATCATGTGATGTTAATGATTAAAATATATTTAAGACCTGGAGACTGAAAAGGTAAATTACATTGTATCTGTTAACTTCCTCATGGAAGTGAAAGCATGTTTGGAATAAATACATCAATTTAAGGAGTTTTAGGCCAGTTGTGCACAGCCAGACTGTAGCCTGTTGTTGTTTACACGCATTCTTCATGTTTACAATCTAATCTAATGTCATTAATTACTAAATACTGTCTCATGATTTGACCTATAAATGTACAATTTGTTGAATTTGGACACTGTAAAAATCAGATTGTGAATCTTTTTAAAATGTAAACGCATCTAAAGCTAAAGATACAACTGCTAAGATGGACCATACTGCGAATTGCTGCAATCTTGTTGTCGTGAACAGTTAAGAGCATCTTATAGAGAAGAATACAATCAAATGAAGAAAGCATCAGCTCGTGTGTCAGATTAATAAAGCTGTTGCAGTGCACACATGACCTCCATTGTCTCTCTTTAATATTCATTGGTTTCAAGGTATAAGTACGGGGTAGCGAATGTAATCGTTCGCTCTTGATACTTGGGGAACGACTGTTTTGTAAAAGTTAATGTTCCTATTAGCTGCGATCTAGATTAGGAGAAGCAGAGTGCAGCTATACTGTGCACTCAGCTGCTTACAGACAAACGAGTTTGTCCAGAAAATGGAGCTGCGAGTCACGACCGAGTCTCTGTAAATGTATGAGAATTGTTGACCTTTATAGTGATAGTAGTGTCGAATAGAATCTCTCACTAAGCTGGTGGAGGATCAAGGAAGTAGTGTTTTTTCAGGCAAGAATCTGGATCAGATATCACCAGATTTTCTCAAGATAGGTAAGATGTTTATACACTGCTTTGAGGTACCTCTCTGAATTGGTTTTGTAAGTTTGGTGCATGGTGAGCTTTTTCTCTTCTGGATACGGCCACTGCATCTTGTGTTAGCAGTATTGTATCTGTTCGTGTTTCCTTACGAGATGTCGATTTTCTTTCCTGTTTTGTTCTTCATATATTTTATATCGCATATATCTGGAATGGTATGCGTGAGGTAAGACTTTAGTATATGTATGATGTATCAGATTCAGCATATATGGTGTACTTGATTTCTTTAAGCTCTGCTTCTGGCTTGCTCTATTTGAAAAAGGTTCCTTGAGATAACTTCTTGTTATGAATTGCGGCGCTATACAAATAAAAGTTGAATTGAATTGAAGTACCATACTGTATTTACTTATCCGTTTAGTTTTGTTATTGTTTATGGATTAATTCGTATTGTTAATTGTTCGTAGAAGGATTACTGATCCTGCGTTGATGTGCTGTGACCACACCTGGCCACCACGAGAGCTTGACATTCCTATTGCTTGGTGTAGCTAATATACAAATACGGGTGTGGTTTCCAAGTTTTTCACTTTGGTCCTGATGATGATCCATCCAGGATCAAACTGTTGCATGAATGAATATATTTTTTGTGGACAGCGAGTAAGCTTGCAGGCTTTACCATTTTTACTCACCGTATGCCTTTTTTCTTGTCAGCGTGGTCCTGATGATGTGGGTGTTGTATAGGCTAGTGTTCCTTCTGCCCATCATGCTTTTGTTCTCAGTGTGTGTGAGATGATGCCTTCCGATTAGCGACCTGTATCATGAACGGACCAATACACAGTACTTGGGACTCAGGGATGTTGGTATCAGGCACGGGATATTAAATGGGGAACGGTACAAAAAAACGTGATTGGTAATGCCATTGG